CTGCTGATTACAACCCAGCTTTGTTTTTCCGTCTTGTTAGTAATCAGGCTATTCGCTGCTGGTTTCCTGTTTTAACAGGGCCCAACTGAAAAAGCTTCTGGCTAGACTCCACGACTGGACCATTGGCTTTCTGTTATTTAGACCCAGAATAAAGGCTTGTGGATATGACAAGTAGCTCCAGCCGACCTACTAATTTATTTAGTCTTAAAAGCAGGCTAGTGCCAGGTCAGTTTATGTCTCCTCCTAAATACATTTAATCTAAAAGAAAAAGTGCTTTAAAAGAACTAAATTAAAGCAAAACAAGTTCGTTTGCAATGATCTAAAATCCCAGTTCTCCACTCCTGCCACCACCACTTAGATGAGCACACCGTGATATTAATGACCTAAGAACTACACGATCAGCATCCCTTCTTTATAAATCACTTTATCCTCCTGGCTTCCCCGCTGAAGTCACACATGATTGAATGCACCGTAGCATCGTATCACAGCGCAGAGACTTTACAGGTCCTCCAGTAATCAGCTCAGGGAAGATTACACCTAAGGTCTCGAGTCTAGGCTCAACAGCCAACGGTTAACAGCTTGAAACAACTTGAGTAAAAGTACAGCGATGACTAAAGTTGATTTCAAAACAAACTACTGCTACTTAAGAAGGCATGCTGAAATACTTTTGAGGGGGAGGACAAAGTATTTAGAGAGCCTGAGACAAATTAAATGGAAGTTAAGCAAATGAAAAATTTAGGCTGAGTATCAGAAAAGTAAGAAAAAACCCCACAACTATCCCATTGTGTCGAGGAAGAGCTTCACAGAGGAAGTGGCAGAAGCCAATTGTTATTCAAAACAGGACAAAGTATACCACAAGGAACAATCTCTGCCCTCCAGAGAGGGGACGGACAAAAAAAACACCTCACAGAAAACCTGCCACTCCACCCCCTTTAGGGTTCTCTCAATTTCTTAAGCTGGATTTTTTTTTTTGTTATAAGCACAGACAAACAGAACCAGTTCTCATCTAAGGCCCTGATCCTGTTGCAACCAAGCTCAGTAGGATTCCCCACATGTATAAACTTGAGCACATGCCTGTGTCTTTGTGAGATTGTATTCTTCATCACCTAATTAACGATCTGAGTATGTTCGGTGTGATTGCTATCACGTTATTATTTGTAATGAAACTATCTAAAGAAGAGTCCTCAGGGTTTTAATCCACAGGCTGTTAGCTTAAAAAAAAAGAAGAAAAAGCAAAACAAAAAAACCCCAAAACCAGCAAAAACCCAAACTCAATCAAGAAACAACAAATAAAAAATCCAACACATAAACAAAAAACTAACTAAAATGCAATCTGAATTAAAAAACCAACAACAAAAATAAATTAGTTTAAAATTATTCATAAGTAACCAAGAACTACAAGGATGTTGAAGGGAATTTCCACAGTAACAACAAAAAAAACTCAACAAACCCTTTTCCCTCTGAATAAAGTTTCATAATTGAGGAACCAGCCAACTTGTTTTCCTCTGCATTTCACAGTTCGCACTCTATCGCTTCTAAAGCAGCCAGACTTGGCTGTGTTATACTTTTTTTTTCTTTAAAGGGATTTTTTTTAGGAGTGCAAGCAAGAAATCTGTAACAAAGTCACTCTTTGAAACTTCTCACTTCAAACGCAAGGTCACAAATAGCTACAAGCCCAACTTTTAGTAAAACAAAGGCACCCTAGCCCTAACACTTTTTAAAAAGTTTCTGTCTTTGTCTCCACATCTTTTAATTTCTGCCATGCAAACCCCAGGCCCATGGGCCCCTCTCAAAAAGTTCTCCCTCCCGCCTGTCACCTTTCATTGTTTCCATTGTTTCAGCCCAGGACTGGCAATCCTCAAAGCAGATCTTCCACCGCCTCACACAAACACACGCACACAAAACCCTACACATGCATACCTAGAAACTACGTCAGCGTTTTTCACACGCATTTATTTCGGGGGTGGCAAGAACAACAGTTGAAAGTGCAGGGAGTTTGGTATTTCACCAACCAGCAGCTGCCCTCGGGGAGAGAAGTCTGAACAATGGAAGCAACAGCAGACAGGAAACCAGCTCACCACTGCTGTGCAAATAGGGAGCATAGGAATGTCCTAAAAATAACTGGCCCAAATTAATTCAGTGAAACCATAAAAAAGGGGAAAAAAAAAGCCTGCTTGCAATAAGGTTAAGAATCTCAACATACCTAAGACGACTGAAACGTTTTAGAAAGTCCCTGCTGTCACTGTCTCTAGGCACAGGCAGCTGAGCTTGGTATGCAGCACATGTTGTAATCTAAAAATCCGTGCAGTCCGCAGGCAGCCGGAGACGCGCCTCGCTCCGCGGGGAACTCGGAACGCTTCGCCGTTCACCGCCACCCTGCCCGCTCTTTAAACTTCGCCTTTGTGCCTCAACTCCCTTCGTGCGTGCTCCTCTTAGATAAGTAGCACGTCTAAAGATTCTGAGGAGGACCACTCTTACGAGGAGTAAAAACCATATTAGTACATCTCGTTTCCAGCAGCCCAATGATTTCACTAACTACATATGCATTAATTGCTCCAAGGATATTAAAAATGAGCGAGGCTGCTCTACTATAGACCCGCAGGAACGCGTAGTACGGGAAAAACAGCACAACTCTGGAGTACTGAACATGCGCACTGCTCCTCTCTAAGCCTCCACGTTCGGTAATTTAATGGTCTTTGAATGCAAAACACCCTTCATCCACTCTACCAACTGGTCAACTGCAACTGCAGATACTGCTTTGCTATAAACTTCTTTCCAGCCAGAGCAGATGTGTTAAATCTGAAAGCACGTTCCGAGTCTTTTGTGGCCAAGCTCCAACTTAAAGGGCACTTAAAGCACCACAATTACCAGTAGTAACACTCCTCTAACTGTAAAGTTTGTCTGTTTGTAAAGTAACGCAAAGAAAACTCAACGAGCCTTATTTTTATGGGGGGGGGGAAAGCCTTCCTCCTTTTAACCCTAACTATGTCGAAACTTCTGCGCTTTCCTCCCACTTCCTCTGCCGTTTTAA